CCTTACTCAGGACTGTGCCTCTTAAATATAAATTCACCAATTGAAAGTTGTTTAGTCAAAAAAATTTTTTTTCCTAATTCCTAAGAACTTCCTAGATGAGAACATCTGATTAGATATGGTAAGTTTTCCTAGTGCATGCTTTTAACATGCACTGCTTCCATTCATGATTTTCTTTTTATATCCTTCATGATTTTCTTTCTGTATCCTTTATTCTGAATGCTTTCCTCAGCTATCTTTGATTTAAGGACAGTCAGCCCTCCATATTTGCGGGTTTGGATATAAAATATTCTATAAAATTGCAGTTTTACTGAACATGTATAGACTTTTTTCTTGTCATTATTCCCTAATACAATATAACAACTATTTGAATGGCATTGTATTGTATTAGATATCACAAGTTATCTAGAGAGATGATTTAAACTATATAGGAAATGTACATATGTTTTATGCAAATACTGTGTCATCCTCAGCATCTGAGGTATCTGCTGGGGGGGATTGGGCTCTTGAAAGAATCCTTTGTTTTTCAGGGTGTCTGGTTCTGGTTTTTAACCAGTCCATTAAGTTTTTTTTTTTTTTGGTGGTACTGGGGTCTGAACTCAGGGCTTTGCATTTGCAAAGCAGGTGCTCTACCATTTGACACACACCTCCAGTCCATTTTGTTCTTGTTATTTTGGAGATGGGTATCCTGGGCTAGCCTCGAACCCAGAACTTCTTGCTCTTAGTCTTCCAAGTTGCCAGGATTATAGGTGTGAGCCACTGGTGTCTAGTCATTAAGTTTTTTTTAAAACGGGGTTAATTTACTTTATTTTTATATTAAAAAAATCCTATGTTGTAGCCACAGCTAGAGCCTGGGTCCTCTGCACAGAGATTCTGGTGTGGGTTTTCACAAGATGGTCAGTGAATTCCTGATAGGGAGACTTGGTGAACATGGTCTCTTTCCAGAGGTCGGGGGTCAAGTAGCTGTAGGTCCTGGAGATGGCATCAAAGGTGGCCTTAGCTAAAGAATAATTGGAAGGGATGGTGGTCAGACTTAAGATAAGGTACCCACCCCCAGGCCAGAAGCTGTTGTACTCCTAGGAACAGAGAGGCCACTTTAGGGCAGGTCTGCTGTGCATTAGGAGGGCCTTCCTCTCCCTCCCTTAAAATACGCCAAGCACACACTGAGCCTGTGTAAGTTTTTTTTTTTTAATTCAATGACTGTACTTTTATTTCTAAAAATTCTGTTGATTTATTTTTCATACTATCTTGAATTTTCTTAAAGTTGGTGATTTTTTTTTTTTTCCTTTTTTGTGGTACTGGGACTTGGAACTCAGGGCCTTACACTTTTAGGCAGGTGCTTTACCACTTGCTCTATTCTGCCAGCCCTTTTCTGTATTGAGTATGTTTGACATAGGGTCTTGAAAAGTTTCCCTGGGTGGGCTTTGAACCGTGATCTTCCTGATCTCTGCCTTCCTGAGTAGCTAGGGTTAAGGTTTGGTGATTTCTGATGACTATACCTTTTCGATGCTGATTCTTCCACTTTCTCTCCTGTGTTAGTTTTCGCACTGTAAACTTACACTCCATTCTCTTTGGGAATATCCTTACATGAATTTCAGTCCTTGGACTCTTACTCGTTTTGTGCTCTCATTAATGGTGGATTCTTTCCTTGTGGTTTTTGATGTGTGATTATGAGTTTATATTGAACAGGGTTTGTGGCCTGGATTGTGGAATGGTTCCTTTACTTTTGAGTTTGCTTGAGCCAGAAACCTCAAATGCTATCATTAGCCTTCATCTGATTTTTCTGTCAATTTATCAGACCCTTGGATGATATAAATTTGAATTCCAAACATGCATGAGGAACTAGCTGCAGTTTTGAATTCTCAAGAAGATACCACCCTTGCCATGGCTATCACTCAGTGCCTAGCCTAAGTGCTTGTCCTGTACAGCAGCTGTGGGGTTGTACCACTTGGATTTCAAGTCAGGAACTTGCCATTCTGCTGCAGGAGTGCAGGTGACCACAGCTTTGGCTGTGAACACCTTTGGGAGATGCCTTGCCTTTCATCTTCTTCTTGGGCACTGACAGCTAAGGACTGAGTAGTAGTGGGTTCAGGGCCTGGTCATTTCTACCCAACACAGGACTCCTTCATTTGGCAGTATTTTCTCCGGAGCACCTTGCCAGGCTGGCTGAAGCTTTGTAGGTGTATATCCTGCTGTGGTCCTCCATCCAATCCTATTTTCCTTCACAAGTTTTGAATCTGTCTATGGCCTAACACAGCCTCCAAAATCCTGCTTCCTCCTTCTTTGGTCTTCCACAGGCATTATTCCCCAACCAACTTCTTACACTTAATTGCACTTTTATTTTGTGGTTTCAGTATTTGCTTCCCAGAGCATCCAACTTTACATCATGTTTTGGTGCTGGGATGCGTTTCTGAACCGAAGATGACGCCTTCAAAGGCTTCCTGTAGAGTGCCTGTTGTTACCTTTTGGGGCTCACAGTCAGGCCCTCCCCCTCCCCCATTCCAAGTAGGCGCAGCAATGACTCCTGTGCTTACAGCTTGGGTGTAATTTTGTCTTAATTTTGGGCATTTATGTTTCCCCTTTATTTCTATCTTAGCCTTACACTTATTAAATCCTATTCAAAATTTCCAGATGTTTATGTCAGCAATGTGTTTGGGTCATACAATTTGCAATATATGCAGTTAATATTTTTTCATCAAAATTTTTTATAAGACAAATTATTTGTGTGTCTTTAATTTAATGTCTAAATGGTACTTTCAATGTTTTTAAATAGACATGTATAAATTGTATAACATTCCAGGATTTAAAAAAAAAATTACACCAAAACCAAGAACTCCATTTTATAGCTAGCTGTCAAGGAATAAAGGCTTCCTTATGATTTGTAAGCCTCATTTTTAAAATAACTTTTATAGACATGTACAAAGTAAGGAAGGGTCGGATGAGATGACAGATGGAGTCTGCAGGAGAAGCAAGGGAGGCGTCAGTTCCACCTGCAGAGATCAGGGAGGCTGGATGGTGCTCTGAGCCAAGACCTGAGGGGGAAGTAGGTGTGTGCCAGCTGTCATAGGCAAGGGGAGGATGGACATTGTCTGCAATGGAATAGCATGTTCAAAGACATGGAACAGCATGATCCACAGGGAAGGGCCAGGGGTACAGTTTGTCTAGAGGATGAGATGCAAATAGAGTGGAGAAAGGAGAACAAGAAACCCGCCTGTGAGAATTGGATTTTAACCAAGAGATGGGGGCAGTCCTAGGAGGCCTTTAAACAGGGAGCAATAGTGACCAGATTTCTCAGTTAGAAAGCACCCTGGGGCAGTGTAGTGGTGGGAGCCGCAGACCTAAAGCCCAGAAGACTTCTGGCAAAACTTCAGTGATGTGGAAGAGTGACTGATGGACAGAGGAAAAGAGTCATAGTTACGAGTGGCCAGGACAGTATTTAAAGTCCAAGTTGTTGATGCAGTCCGACCCCTCGTTTTCAACCTGGGAATGTGACAGTGATGGAATGCTGCCACATAACGATGGGAAGAGTAAGAAGGGACAGGGGCCATCAGGAGGAGGCAGGCAGGCAGACAAGTACCTTCTGATAGGCAATAGAGGGTGCCAGTGACACAGGAATGGCTGGGAGTGATGACTAAAATACCCTCATTTTCGAGCAAGTCATTTCAGTGCTACAGCATTCATGAGAGTCCCAGGAAGTGTTTGGCCTTAGAGAAGAGACAAGAGCTGCCCTGAGATTGGGAAGTGTAATAAGCTGAACAGCAGCTCCCTCCCCTCACCTCCTAGGTGTTCACATCAAATCCCCAGAACCTGTGAATATCTTACCTTACACAGCTAGCAAAGGGGACTTTACAGATTTGGTTAAATTAGGGTTTTAAAGGGCTGGGGATGTAGCTCAGTAGTGCAGCATTTGCCTTGGTTTGATTGCCAGTACCACAAAACAAAACACTAGGAAAATTAGGATTCTAAGAGGGAGACCATCCTAGTGGGATCAGTGTAATCAAAGGTTCTTTATGAGAGGAAAAAAAGCGAAGTCAGAAAAATCAGGTATGACAACAGAAGAGTAGTTTACAGTTATTCCCTTAGGAAGAAGGGGTCACAGCCAAGAGTACATGTGGCTTCCTTGTTGGAGATTGTGTCTCCCCTGGAGCCTCCAGCAGAATGCAGCCTTTTGACACTTTGATTTTAGCTCCAGAACTGTAAGAGAAATTTGTATCCATTTAAGCCACCAAGTGTGGTAATTTGTTAATGGTAGCATCAAGGGACAGTCCCAGGAAGGGACATCCATGTGTTGGCCTGAGTAGTAGAGTAAGGGCTCCTAGAAGTTTATGTGGTGGTGGCTGGGTTTGGTCTCCCACCTCCTTCTGGTCTGGAGCTGACCTCAGCCCCCAAGCCCCAACCTACTCCTCCCATATTCTGTGTGGTGAGTGGCACCTGCTCCCAAGCCCAAGACAGAGGAGTCCTCCATTAGGCAACCATGGGCAGAGGTTCTGGATTGGCATTCAGATTTCTGCAAGCAGAATGAGGGTAATGAGGATGCAAGGAGGAGGGAGTCAGTGGGATGGATAAGGGGTACCTTCTGCCTTCCAATTATGGGAAACATCCAATGGGGAAGATGGGCCAGAAGTGCAGACAAGGGGTCAAGTTCACAACAGGAACTGTACATACTCCACCATGGGCCAGGACCACCCCCATTGTCCCTTCTCTGCATCTCACTCTCATGCCCTCTATAGAAAAAATTTAAGATGGATTTTGCATTTTCGTTTTCTTAAAAAGAAATCTATGATCAAAATCAAAAAGACTATGGCTCAAGTGGTAGAATGCCTGCCTAGCAAATGCAAGGCCCTGAGTTCAAACCCCAATATCACCAAAAAAAAAAAAAAATCAAAAAGCAAAAATATGAGAAAATGAGATAAACTGTTAACAATGATGAACTCTGTTGGATGGGAATATGGGTGCTACCCTGGCTTAAACATCATGGGTAGGGCTTTGTTATAAAACGAGGATTATTTCAGGAATCACCTGCCAAGCTAAGAAAAGATGTGAGGATAAAACAGCTAACATCTATTTTTCTTTGATATTCTGTAGTTTCTTTCCCAGACCTTCCATCTTCATGCATATCTCAAATTAAACTAAATTACATAAACTATGTTTATATTCTGATGCAATGTGATTTGATGTTTTGAGCCTCCCTCCAAATGTTAGTTTATCTCCTCTGAATCACACTTCTACAGGATCTTTTATATCTAGTTCTCAAGGACAGTCATCTCTCTGGGTTCAAGATGACTAAGGGCAGGAGACAGTTGAGGACTTACACCTCTCCCCTGCTCAGCCCCCTGGCAGCAATGACACAGGTGTAAGAATGGAATCCACCCAACTGCCTTGGTGCTGGTTAGGTTTTATTTTAACAGGATGTTTTCTGTTCATTTGTTTTTTCAAAATATCAGTTATATCAATATTAGAAGTGTAAACAGGTACAAAATATACAGTACATAGAAACAATTTTGTTAACTAGTCTATTCCTAATAAATGTAGACAGGAGGGAGCTGAATGGATGGACACCATGGTCTTCTCCTCTGCAGGGAGACAAGTTACCCATTTGGGCAAGAGGACCAATGGCCACTTCAACAAAATGGGAATGGATGTGTGTGTGGTGGGGACAGCACTGTGGTGGACAAGAGATCTGGGCCTATTTCTAATTCCACGTTGAAGATATTGGAGGTGGGCCCTTACCCAGCCCCCCAAACTAAGTGCCCCTAAGTAGGTAGCAAGCACATACCTCAGGGAGGCTGGGACTTGGGGAGCTGCTGAGGCAGTCCCCCTGAGGTCTGAGGATCTGACTCATGGGTGTGGGACAAATCTTTAATAGGCCAAAGCCCCCCAAAAGAGCTATGGCTCTTCCCAGCTCCTGGCACATGCAGCGTACTCACAGTGAGAAGTTGAGATGTGCCCTTCCGAGCCCTTTATTTCCTCATCTCTAAAAAACAAATGCCTGTCCTGTTGCTTCCCAAAGCCATGGCAGCTGTCAAATGAGATGTGATGTGGAAGCACTCTGAAAATGAAAACACGGCACAAAGCAGCCTCAGGGGTTGGCTGGCTGGCTTCCTTCCTGGCTTTCTGTGACCAGATGTGCAAGGGTTCAATGCCCAGCCTTGACTTTTTTTACCCTCCAGACCTAACACTACAGCTCCACATGACAACGGGGTGTGGCCACCTTCCCCTGGACAGATGACACAAATGGCCTGGAACAGGGAAAAGTTAGGCCAGAGCTCTGCGGGTCTTTTCAGGAGAGGCAAGCTGGCAAAAACAGTGGCTGCTCCTAGTGGGGTCCTTCCTGCTGAGTGGAGCAAGGGGTTCCAGGCCTTAGCCCCTCACTGCTCAGGGCCCTAGGCCTAGACCAGTGGCCTGAGCAAAACAGGACTGAACTGGCACTGGATTATGTGGTTCGGGGATCCATGCTTAGGAATCAGTAGGCCAGAGGTGCCCAGGGCCCTCCTCACCCCGTCCTCCACGGCCAGCCTTCCAACGCTCCTAGAGTACGTGGACATACCCCTGAAAACCAAAAGTACACTGTAAAACTTCAACGGTGCTACTACAGTTTTCCAGCTTTCTCCTCAATTAAAAAGAAAAAACAAAAAAACAGATTTTCAATTAAATTACTTAAAATTCTACTATGGTGTTCAGTTTCACAATCAGAGAATCTGACTTTGTTTAGAGGTGGAAGCTACATTGTTTGGGTTTCTCTTTTTCCAGTGATCAGTTCAGCATCGTGGAAATTTGGTTCTCTGCCGAGTTTCCCTTTTTGCCTCTAAGCTTTTGATACCATCCTGCGGTCTGCACACGGGGCTTTGTACATTTGTGGCCTGCAGGGGCCATGCGCGGGCGGTGGGGGCCTCACAGATCCCCACCATCAGTGGGTCCCAGGACACTTAGGCCACAAGTCCAGTCGGTCACCAGGTCTGTGGAGGCCAAGGGTCCTTTGGCAGCGGGGCTCTTGAAGGGGTCGGGCGGCGCTGTGGGCAGCGGCGGAAGCGGCTGCGCGTGGGCCGGGGCCTTGGCGACGGCGGGATGGTTGCGCTGGTGCTTGCGGAGGTGGTCCTTGCGGATGAAGCTCTTGCCGCACACGGTGCAGGTGAAGGGCCGCACGCCCGTGTGCGTTCGGTAGTGGTCGATGAGCTTGGAGCGCTCGGTGAAGCGCTTTTCACACTCAGTGCAGGGGAAGGGCCGCTCGCCAGTGTGCAGCATGCGGTGGCGGATGAGATGCGCGGGGCGCGTGAAGCAGCGGCCACACTCCCCGCAGCGCAGGGCGTTGCTGTCCCGCCCGCCGCCGCTCGCGGTGGTCGCGGTGGCCGCCCCCGCGCCCGCCCCATCTGGCAGTCCGCAGCTTCGCTGGTGCGCGCTGAGGCTCACCTGCAGCTGGAAGCTCTTCCCGCAGGTGGCACAGGTGAAGGGCCGGCCTCCGGGGGGCGCTGCCGGGTGCTTCTTCAGCCCTGGCTTGTGACCAAAGCCTTTTGTCCGGCCAGGATATTTACAGGGTTCGTTGAAGGGTCTTGGGGCCTGGCTGGGATCCAACACAGCCTCTCCATTGTCCGGGGAGGAGAAAGGTAACCCCTCAGGCCCGCTCCTTGGGTTCAGGCCCACTGGAGGTTTGCACCGGAAATTCCAGCCCCACCGGACCCCACCGAAGAGCCAGTCTCCGGCAGGGGTGTCCTCCTGGGCCACGGCAGGGCTGAGCTCGCCCATGTCCCTCTCTGGCCGGGCAGGCTCTCGCAGTCCCAGGACAGCGTCCTGGCTGGGGAAGGAACTCCCCTGGCTTTCCCAGGCTCCCTCCTGTACAGGACTAGGGAAAAACCTTGCAGCCTGGCCCGGTGCAAACAGAGTCCCATGAGCTTCCAGGTCTGTAGGGTGCACGGGTGTGGCCACCACCTCCTCTTCTTGGACTTCTGTTTTGATCACAATTTTTACATCTGCTGAGAAATACAAAGGCAGGTATCATTCTGGCCCTCATCTCTGGATGAGCAGCAGGGACATCACCATGGCCCCTGCCACTAAGCTTCAGAACCACATGGCTGTAAGGCTGCCTCAAACCCAGAAGGCATAGCATCCTGGTGCCTTCACACCAGAAGAGCCACCCTCAGATCTGCCCCCAGGTTCTGTTTTCACTTTGGCTGTTAAGACTAATCCTGAATTTATCCAAAGAAAGCAAATTCTGACTGTGGGGCCATGTAACCCACAGCAAAAACACAGGCCTGGGTTCAGACAAATCTGGGAGTAAGTCACAGTATTTACTAGCTGTGGATGGGAGGCCCACCTTTTTTTTTTTTTTTTTTTTGTGGTACTGGGCCTTCACCTTGAGCCACTCCACCAGCCCTATTTTTGTGAAGGGTTTTACCAGATAGCGTCTCAGGAACTATTTGCCTGGGCTGGCTTCTAACTACAGTGTTTCTGCTCTCTGCCTCCTGAGTAGCAGGAGGATTACATGGGTGAATAACTGGCCGCAGCCCAGAGGCCCCTCTTAACCAACAGGTTCTATTGAATGTCCTCCTTCACAGGACTGCATGGGGATTATCCAGATAACATATCTAACCACACTTCAGCATATCATGTGGCATGTAGCAAGCATTCAATAAATGTAGCCACCTACCTAATGATGAAAATATTAGTGAATGAGTAAGTATGTTTGATTTTATATAAATGTACTTTAATTTCTTATCCCAAGGTTTTGTATCAGGGATCGTGACTTTTAACACACTTTTTTGGTGGGGGTTCTAAAATATGACAGAAATAATTACTTAAGGTAACAGATAACTGATCTTCAAAATAAAAAACAAATACATAAATTTGGTAGTTGTTCCTCCCATCTCTGGCCTTCAGACACCTGTCTTTGGTAAAGTCAGTATCTAAGAAGTGGTTTTGGCTTAATTTTGTTTGCATCCATGCCAGAGGAGCCATAGGTTACCAGAGTTGGGGAGGAGGCCTACCTATCCTTCAAGGAATCAGCTCATCAGAATAGAGTGGCTAATCCCATGTGCAAAGGAGCAGTCTTAAACAAACATGGACATAAGAAAGGCTGCTCAAGTCTAATAATTTGGAAGGAGAGAACGGAAGGTACAAAGAGTTATGATCACAGATACCCAAATACCTGCTGACTGAAAGGTCAGGGCAGTTCACCAATAAGCAGGTGAACTTGCTCCCAGGCCAAGCATCCACCGCCCCCACCCCCCATCTTGCCACCTGGGTACCTTCTGTGGAGGCTGCTGTGCTGAGCTTCAGTGTCCCATCAGAGCACGCTGAAGATGGGTGGTGGGGAGGGAGCTCTGCCTGCCAGGAAGTAGGCGGGATAGTGGTTGAAAAGTTGGAATGGACGCCTGCAAGGAAGAGAGATCGGAGCCATGGGTTAAGGGAAGGTTGGGGCAGCAAAAGAAAACTGCAGGACAGGGCAACTAAACCCTAAGTGTGTTCCGAATGATCATGATGACTGAATCTAGCATCTCTTGGCCTCTTTGAAGCACTGGGAAGCTCAGATATCTAAATGACTCACACAGTCCTTTACCAACAAAAGGCAGCTGGTTATATCCTAGCCTGAAGCTGAGGGCAGTAAGAAAAGGTGTATGGTTGATGAAGGGGCTACTGATCTGCTGAGAAAAGTAATAGCCAAGATCACTGACCTCAGAGGGCTAGGTGGTGTCCTTTAATGAGCCCCTACCTTAAGGTGGGAAAACTTCTAAGCTGGTCAGGCCAATGTTCTGAGAACCCATAGCTCCCTACATGCTCCTGGGAGCCTTTCCTGGTCCCTGTCTTTAGTTCCTACAACTCATTCTAGTGTCTGCTCCCCCATCTCAGCCACTCACCAGAGGTAGCATCCGTGGAGATGTCTCCTGCCCCAGAGTCCAGCTGGCTGAGGCCCCAGGGTTCCTCCCCGATATCTGGCTGTCCAGCTGCCCAGGCCTCTACACCCAGTGCCTGCTGTTCCTGCAACTGGAGCTCTCCTTCCTGCTTGATCTGCATCAGGAGGTCAGGGGCAGGAACTGGGGGCCCTGAGCCTAGGAAGGGGAAAGCATGTGAGCCTCTCAGCCAAGGAAATGGACACACTGGCCTTACAAGGGTCCAGCAGCAAAAGAGCCTGGTGGGAAGGGAATGAAACAAAAACAGGGCCTCTTGGCAGAGTATGCAGTCACTGAGTACCAGGGTAGGGTGGGGGGCGGGTGAGGTAGGGAGAGGGAGAGCATATGAACATGTTCTTAGGACGAGGCCTGGTCCATGGGGAAGTCTGAACTGCCCTGGGGAGTGCTGTTTTCACTTTTAACACAGGAATGCCAAATAAAATTGAACCCTCTCTCCCCCTCAAATTACCCCCCAAACACACCTAGTTATGTGAGCTCAAAAGAAAGATTTTATATGTAAGAGTCAGAGAAAACACACAATTTAATCAAGAGGGAGGGTAGAAGGCAAATGTCCCAGAGAGTTGTTGGCAAAGGATGCAGGCCTTAGGGGCTGGGCTTTCATGCCCGTGTAGGGCTGACCTGCTTGTGTAAAGCAGTTACCCTGAGGTTTTGTACTGACTGTGAGATGGGACTAGGAAAACTCCATGTAGCTGAGGGAGCTACCAGCAAGCTACCCACTTGTTCAGGTCTGTGCAAGGGAAAGCAAATCATCAGCAAGGTGGCTCACACCTGTAATTCTACCTACTCAGGAGGAAGAAATAAGGAGGGTCGCAGTTTGAGACCAACCTGGGCAAAAAGTTCCCGAGACCTCCATCTCAACCAACAAAAAGCTGGGCATGGCAGTGTGGGCCTCTCGTCCCAACTCTCAGGGAAGTGTAAAATAGGATAACCATGGTCCAGAGCTGCCCAGGTATTAATGTGAGACTCTATTTGAAAAATAACTAAAAAGAGAAAAGGCCGGGGGTGTGGCTCTAGTGGCAGAGCACCTACCTAACAAGTGAAAGGCCCTGAATTCAAATCATAATATGGCCAAAAAAAAAAAAAAAGAAAAGGAAACAGGAACCCCTGTCCACATGGAATTCGTACTACCCACACAGTACAGACACCCAATGAGAAATTCACTGAAAAACTGGCTGAGAGCCACAGCAACTCAGGAGACCTCAGCACAGGTAAGCACTAGACTGCTCACAGGGCTATCCCCACAAAGCAGGTCACAGCCTTACAAGCCAAAACTAAACTAGAACCAGAGGAAAGCTGCAACTTACAAACCAGAAGAGGAGCCAAATAGCTTACAGGAGGCAGGGCATACTTTACTTTCTAAATAATCCAAGGGTGTAAGGAAAATCAGAATGAGAATCAGAAGCTACCTGGACCCCGGTGTTGATGAAAGTGTTATCTATCAAAATGTGTGGGCTGCAACTACAGTGGTACATAGAGGAAATGTAAAAGCCTTGATTCTTTATAATGAAAAAGACAGGTTGAAGGTTAATGGGCGGGGCTAGTGGAGTGCCTGAAGAGTGCCAGCCTAGCAAGCACAAGCCTGAGTTCAAACCCCAGTGCCATTAAATAAATTAAATAAATAAATAAATAAATAAAATGGGCTAAGCAGTCAATACAAGGTGTAAGAAAAGAAATTACATCAACAACAAAACACTTAAAAAAACTGGGTATATGGCTCAAGTGGTAGAGCACTTGCCTAGCAAGTATAAGGCCCTGAGCTCAAACCCCAGTACTAGAAATCCCCCCCCACAAAAACAAAAAACCTTTAAAAAAGTAGGAGTAAACATAAGAATGGAAATTAATAAAAGGTACAACAAAGATATACCTACAACATAGGTTGGTTCATTGAAGAGAATGTTAAACCAATTCATCTCTAGCAAGAGTATCAAGAAAAGGGGAGAGCTCCAATAACCAGTCTGAGGAATGAAAAAGAGGAGTCATACAGATGCACCAGAGATTAAAAAGACGAAGAGGATACTATGACTGTTATTCTAAATAATTTGAAAATTCTGGGGAAATGGACAAATTCCTAGAAAAATTACAACTTCCCAAAATGGACCAAAAAAGGAATAGACAGCCCAATCAGTCTTAAAACTAAAATAAATTAAATCAGTAGTTAAAACGTCCCAACTAAGAAAACCTGAGACCCCAGGTGGCCTCACTGGTGTTTTCAAACAAGCATTCAAAGAACAGATAATTCTAACCTTACTCAAACTCACTGAGCAAATAAAAACAGAGAGTAGATCACAGCTATGTCCTTAACACTAAAATCAGAAGACAGTCTGAGAAAGGAAAACCATAAGGCCCATCCCACCAATGAACAAAGATTCAAAAGTCATGAACAAAATAACCAGCATAATCTGGTAATACACATAAATGACCATGAATAAATTAGGTTTATTCCAGGATTGCAAACTTGGCTCAACTTTAAAGAATAACATAAATTACCAAGTTAGCAATTTAAAGGGAGAAAAACCGTATCATCTCAACAGATACCAACAAAATAAAGCCAAAAAGTGTCCTATAAAATTTGTAGTCACTCCTGTTTGTAACACCTAGCCAGCCAGAAATATGGGGAACTTCTTGAACCTGATAAAGGGGTCTGTTATCAAAACCTTGATTTGTAAATAAACTGTTAGCAAATATCATTCTTGATGTGAAAGGTTAAAAAGTGCCTTTTTAAAATCATGAGCCAATAGGATACCTGTTACCACTCCTATTCAAGGATTGTCAGGGATTTCTCAGCACAAAATAAGGGAAAAATAAGCCATAAAGATTTGAAAAGAAAAAATATTTTTTGCTTGTAGATATGATTGACTTTTCAAGAAATCTGAGAATTAGACAACTGTTAGAAAAATTATTAGTGTTAACGAGAATTTTAGCAAAGTTTTTAGAAATAAATGATAGGCAACTGTCTTTTTATATACTATTAGGTTTTATTTTTTGGTGGGACTGGAGTTTGAACTCAGGGCTTCGTGTTGCAAAGCAGGTACTCAAATGCATGAGCTACCATTTCAGGTCCCATTTTGCTCTGGTTATTGGAGAAGGGGCCTCTCAAACTATTTGCCTGGGCTGGCCTTGATCCTCCTAATCTTAGCCTCCCAAGTAGGTAGGATTACAGGTATGAGTCACTGGCACCTGGCTACTATTATGGTTTTGATGGAGCCAATCAACTACCATTTTCCTTCCTTGTCATGGATCTTAATCTGAGAAAACAAATGAGGAAGGCCAATGAGGCTAAGCTATTTTTATTACTAGTAAGTCTGGATATAGCTTTTATCTGTGGGCAAGAACAATTCTGTAATTATACGGACCTGAAAATCAGAACTTAACTGGATAGGGTGGAGCCCTAACAGAGCAGCAGAGGGCACCTATCCTGGAGGTAGCCAGCTGCCCAGGCACTGCACTCGTCCCACTTTTGCTTCCCACTCTCTAGCAGGGTATGTGCTTTCATGCCACCAGAAGCGGACTGCAGAGGTATTGAAATTATACAACTGAGCTCCTGCTGCAGGGGAGAAGTGTTCCCTATCCTTCAGCCCCAACATAAATCAACAACAAGTTAAAACAACACACCATGCACAGTGATATTAAAAAAAAAAAAAAAGTAAGAACTTTTTGGGAGAAAATTATAAAGCTTCACTGAGACATTATAGACAGGCTAAATGGAGAGACTAAGGATAGCCATGGATAATGCGACTCAATGCAGTGAAAGTGTCAATTCTCTCTGAAATACTTTGTAGACTGAATGCATTTCCAGCCAAAACACCAACTGGATTTTTCATGGCACTTGACAAGGCAATTTCAAAGTTGCTGAAATAGCAAAGAAAAAAGTACAAAGCTCATGAAAAAGAACGAGGGTCTCTCCCTCAGTTCACCACAAGATCCATTCCTGATGGATTAAGGACTTGAACATGAAAGGCTAAACTTAAAAATGTTGAGTAGGAAATAGGAGATGGTGTATTATAACTGTGAAGTTGAAAAACACACACACAAAAGACAAACCATAACTGGAAGACTAGCAAATCTCAGTACACTGAAATGAAAAGCATCTGTGCTTTAAAATATAGCATAGGCTAGAGTGCACCTCAGTGGTAGAGTGCCCAGCATCCAGATGGCCCTGGGTTCAATCCCCAGCACCACAAAACAAAACAAAACAAACAAACAAAATACCCAAAAAACTAACAAAAAACCTCAAACGGAGATGATACTGGTAAGCTATCTTGTGGGCTGACACAAAGACTCATATTCTGAGTGTGTAAAGAACTCTGACAAATCAATAAGAAAAACAACTTTAACATCAAAAATGGACAAAAGAGCCGGGCACCAGTGGCTCATGCCTGTAATCCTAGCTACTCAGGAGGCAGGGATCAGGAAGATTGTGGTTCAAAGTCAGCCCGGGCAGATAGTTCATGAAACCCTATCTCAAAAAAAAAAAATCACAAAAAAGGTCTGGTGGAGTGGCTCAAGGTGTAGGCCCTGAGTTCAAACCCCAGTACCACAAAAAAAAAAAAAAAAAAAGAAAGAGGGCATTTTACAGAAGAAAAAAGACAAATGGCCTATGAATAGAGGATATAATGTTCAATATATCACTAGATAGGAAGATGTGTTTTCAACCACAAATTTATACCATTTTTCTTCCATCAGCTAGGCAGAAACGAAAACAGCACTTCCAAGGCTGGAAAGAGTGAGGTTCAGCAGGAGCCCCAGGCTTTGCTGAGGAGGACGCCCATTGGCAGCTCTGCTCTGGAAACACCTGAACATGCATCTTTGCCATGGCCCACAGACCTGGGCTCACTTTCATATACACCTAAGAGCATTGTCCTTAAAGCAAAACAAACCAAAATAACCCAGTACACGAACACCTACTATGGTCAAACGAATAAATACACAGTATTATAGTCATAAAACAGAATTTTTTTTTTTTTTTTGGCAGCACTAGGGCTTGAACTCAGGGCCTCACGCTTACTAGGCAGGTGCTCTACCACTTGTGCCACTCCGCCAGCCCTAGAAAACCATTAAGTGGTGAAAATCATGAAAATAAATGAACTGCATACACTATATCAACACAGATGAGCTCCAGCACCTGATGTCAAATGAGA